AATGATATTGGCCTGTGTTTAGTATAGATGGCTTTTACAATGTTGGGGTATGTTCCTGCTATCCCTAGTTTTTCTAGTGTTTTGAACTTGAAAGGGTGCTAAATTTTGTCAAATGCTTTCTCTGCATCTGTTGATATAATCATATGATTCTTAGGCTACTGATGTGGGGAATTATGTTTATTGATTTTCATGTGTTGAACCAACCCTGCTTTGCTGGGATGAACCCCATTGATCATGGTGCACTATCTTTTTAATATGTTTTTGTATGCAATTTGCCAAAATTTTATTGAAAATTTTTTCATCTATGTTCATCAGGGATATTGGTCTGAAGTTTCCTTCCCTGATGAATCTTTGTCTGCTTTGGTGTCAGGGTGATGCGAGCTTCATAGAATGAGTTGGAGGGTCCCTCCTTTTCCAGCCACATGGTAACCTCAGGAGTGTTGGTGGCAGTCCTTCTTTGCGGGTCTTGCAGAACTTGGCGGAGGCTCCATCTGGTCCCAGCTTTCCTCGGTCGGTGGCTTTGGATGGCGGCTTCTGTCTCCTTGCTTGAACGCCGTCTGTTGGGTAGGTCCCCCTCATTTCGTTTGGCAAACCACGTGCCTCTAGAAAGGTGTCAGTGTCCCCGGGACTTTCAGGTCTCCAGAACAGTTCCTGATTGTCTTCTGTGTTCTAGTGGTGTCTGTCGTGTTGTTTCCTTTTCAACTTGGATTTTAGTAATTTGTCTTTTCTCTCTCCTTCTTTTTGTTAGGGTGGCTAAAGGTTTATCAACTTTATTTCTTCAAAGAACCAGCTTTTTGTTTTGTCAGTTTTTTCAATTGTTTCTTTTGTTACAATTTCATTGATTTCAGCCCTGATTTTAATTATTTCCTGTCTTCTGCTTTTAGTGTTGATTTGTTTTTCTTTTTCTAGGGCTTTGAGATGTAATATCAGGTCATTTATCTGTTGATGTTTACTTCTTTTAATAAAAGAGCTTAATACAATAAACTTTCTTCTTAGCCTGCCTTCATACATCCCAGAGATTTTGATATGTTGTATCAGATTTCTCATTCACCTCTAAGAATTCTTCTGTTTCTTCCCTATGTCTTCAGTCATCCATGCCTCATTCAGTAGCATGTTATTTAGTCTCCAGATGTTGGTGTAGCTTCTTTTTTTAAAAAATTTTTCATTGATTTCTAATTTCATTCCATTATGGTCAGATAGAATGCAAGGTGTTTTTTATTATTATTTTAGTTGTAGATAGACACAATATCTTTATTTTTATTTGTTTATTTTTATGTGGTGCTGGGGACCAAACCCAGGGCCTCTGGCGTGCAAGGCAAGCGCTCTACCTCTGAGCCTCAACCCCAGCCTTGCAAGGTGTTATCTCTGGGTTTTGTACACGCTAAGACTTGCTTTGTGGCATGATACATGGTCTATTTTGGAGAAGGATCCGTGTGCTGCTTGAGAAAAAAGTGGACTTGCTTGTTAATGGATGAAATATTCTATTATGTTTGTTAAGTCTGAATCATTGATTGTATTACTGAGTTCTGTAGTTTCTTTGTTTAGTTTTTGTTTGGAGGATTTATCCAGTGATGAAAGAGATGGTAAGGTCACCAGTTATTATTATGTTGTGGTCTGTTTAATTCTTGAAGTTGAGAAGGGTTTGTTCGATATACGTAGATGCACCATTGTTTAGGGCATAGACATTCACAGTTGTTACGTCCTGTTGATGCGTGATATCCTAAACATGTGAAATGTCCTTCTTCACCCTCTTGACTAACTTTGGTGTGAAGTCCACTTTATCTGATATGAGATGGAAACTCCTGCCTGTTTCCCAGTCCCTGAGAATGGCATGTTTTTCCCATCCTTCCACCTTCAGGCTGGATGTCTTTTCTGATGAGTCTCTTGAAGGCAGAATATTGTTGGGTCTTTTTTAAATCCAATCAGCCAGTCTCTGTCTAAATTGATGAGTTTAGGCCATTAACATTCAGGGTTATTATTGAGACACAGTTTGTGTCCCCAGCCATTTTGGTCTGTTTTTGGCTTTTTACTTGACTTGGTTTCTCCTTTGATTGGCTTTTCCTTTAGTGTAACCCCCTCCCTTTCTGATTTTCATTGTTGATTTTCATTTCGTGGAATGTTTTGCTGAGGATGTTCTGTAGTGCAGGCTTTCTCATTGTATATTCTTTTAACTTTTGTTTATCTTGGAAGGTTTTAATTTCATCATCAAATCTAAAGCTTAATTTTGCTGGATATGAGAGTCTTGGTTGGCATCCATTTTCTTTCAGAGCTCGGTATGTGCTGCTCCAGGATCGCCTGGCTTTGAGGGTCTGGGTTGAGAATCTGCTGAGATCTGAATTGGTTTCCCCCATATGTAACGTGAAACTCTCATAGCTTTTGAAATTCTGTCCTTATTCTGTATGCTAGGCATTTTCATTATAACATGTTGGTGTACATCTGTTGTAATTTTGTATATTTGGTGTCCTATAAGCCTATTGTATTTGATTTTCCAATTCATTCTTTATGTTTGGGAACTTTTCTGATATTATTTCATTGAGGAGATTGTGCATTCCTTTGGTTTGACTCTCTGAGCCTTCCTCTATCCTGATACATTTTAGATTTGGTCTTTTGATGTTATCCCATAATTCTTGGATGTTCTATTCATGGTATCTCACCATCTTCACTGAGTGGTCAACTTTATTCTCAAGATTGTATATTTTGTCATCATTGTCTGCAGTTCTGTCTTCCAAGTGGCCTAATCTATTGGTGATGCTTTCTATTGAATTTTTTATTTGGTATATTGTGTCCTTCATTTCAAGGATTTCTGTTTTTTTCTTCCAGAATCTCTATCTCTTTCTTGAAGTAATCTTTTGCTATCTGTATTTGCTCTCTTATCTCTTTGTTGAAGTGATCAGTTGTTGGCTGTATTGCTCTCTTACGTCATTATTTGATTTGCAGATCATTTTAATTATATACATTCTGAACTCCTTCTCTGACATTTCTTCTATACTGTCAAAAAGTTCTATTATCTTATCATCTTGGTGTGTTGGGGCACTTTCTTCCCTGTCTTTTCATGCTTTCTGAGTGTCTTCCCTCTAGCAGTGCCGATCCTAGATGTTACACTTTCTACCCTATAATCTTAAAGTGTCTCTGTAGGTTTCTCGTGTCTCACCTTTAAGAGGGAGATCAATATTAACAGCTCCCAATGCAAATGATATATACCTTTAAACCAGCAAGTCCCTCTTTAGACAATTAAGAGTTTTGTCATAACAAACAGAAATGATGTGTTCAATTATTATCTGCAGTAGAGACCGTAGGTTTGAAGAGGGTGTACAGTTTTTACTGGTGGACAAAGGCAGAAGCAGTGTGGGTGTGGAGTGTGATGTTTACGGGAAGGAGGTGAGAATATAGAGGTGTGAGGTCATAGGCAGAGTGAAGGATGAATCAAAAGAAGTTGGCTATTGACAGGAGAAAAGAGAGCAAGAGGTGACCCCATGTAAGGCGCTCTCCTGCCTCCACAACAGAATGGTGGCTATTAGCACACCTGGCAGGATGCCTCTGCTGTGACCAAGCCTGCAGGGACCTTGGTGATGGTCTTCCTGGTCCTGGCTATTGTCCCTAGATGGAAGCCGCCACTTCCCTGCTTGGTGGCAGCGGTAGCGTCAAATCTGTAAGTACCTTGGGGATGGGCTTCCAGTCCTCCGCCAGTGTCCCAAGATGGAAGCCGTGGTAACTGAAGATGGTGGTGTTGGCCAAGGAGGGGTGACCCAAGATGGCCGTGGAGGTGTCCCAAGATGGAAGCAACCACTTTCAGAGATGGGGCTGAAAGGGCCAGCCTTAGGATGGCTGTGGGCAGCCTGTTCAGGGATGTAGCACTGTGGTGTGGGTTGCTGCAGGGTAGCTGCCTCCACACCCTGTCAGTTGTCCCAGGGTAGGGGGTTCTAGGTGAGGAGAGGTCTATTACAGTGGCTGCAGTGCCCTAAGAGGGAGGAGTTCTGAGAGGAACCAGGTGCTGGGAAGCCATAGCCCTGTCCTCCGCTCTGTGCAGCTGTCCACCCTGGGCCTGCCTGGGCCTGGGGGCTCTGGCATGGGTCACAGGTCAGGCAGGGCCAGTGCTGGGGTCCACCAGGGCCTAGGGGCTCGAATGTGATTCACGGGTCAGGCCAGGCTGGTCCTTTTTATTTTTTATTTTGAGACAGGGTCTTGATGAGTTGCTGAGGCTCACCTCTAACGTGCCATCCTCCTGCCTCACCTTCCCAAATTGCTGGGATTACAGGCATGTGCCACTGTACCCGGCTATGAGAAATATTTTAATGAAGTCACCAAACATAAAACTTCTCTGAACTTACATAAAATTACACAGATAAGGCTGGTGGTGTCGTCGTATGTTTAGTTACCAGTGGAGGCCCGCTTACACTGGCCCTGCCTGGTCCCACACAGTGGAGCTGAGGGTTGACAGTTGAGAGGGACTTTCCCTTTAAAGTCATGTTCTAGAATAGTACTCTCAGTGGTGTGGTGTTGCCCATCAGGAGTGAAGAGTGGTTCTCGGGGCCAAAGCGCTGTGGTCATGGTTTGTGTGCATAGTGATTTCAGAAGTATTTAGTGAGTGTGTATGTGGATCAGTGCTGATTTGTGATTATTACAAAAGGCCATCAAAGGTGTCCAAGGACTGGTAGGCACCTTGTAAAGATGGAAATGGCTCCCGTGGAGACAGTCCTTCCCACCTGCACACAGTGCATGGATGGCTGCAGCCCTGAGCAAACGGCACCTCGTGGTGCAGTTGTGAGGGGTTTAATTAAAAAGTGTGCTCTTTAACGTTCTTGTTACACCTTGGAAACCTAAAGGACAAATAATGAAATCAATATGTTGTGTTTCTTTCAGAATCAGAAAAAAATCATGGGGGGATGGTAGGAAGATTGTCTAAAAAGGCTTCTTGGTTGGGTGAATAGGAAAAGGTTGGGAACACGTGTTCCTGAGCGTGGCCTCTGTCCCTCCCTTGGCTGTCAGTGACTTGAGTGAAGATGCTTTGTGGGCGCCGCGGTGATGTGAATGAGGAGTTGGTCTGGGTGGATCAGGACACACTAGGAGTGACTGCCTCATGTAAGGGGGAGTTGTGGGGTGGTTTCTGCTGATGGTGCCATGTGAGAATGTGGCCCAGGTCCCTAGATCTTGTTATTGTTTTAAGAAAAGCATAAAAACCAGTTAATATGCAATGTCGTATAACTTTTTTATATTGGCAGATAGTATGAAATTTTTTAAAGAATAAAAAACCTCAGGGTTATACAAATAGACCCCTTTGTAGGAGCTGAGCAGCCAGTACATGACCACTAGTCTAATCTATTATTTGTTGCTTTGCATAACAAATTTAGACAGTCTCCATTAAAATACAAAAGAGTATGTATGTTAATAAAGTGGATATCATAGCTTATGTAGCCCTCTAGTATCTGCCTTTGAATCGACCTTGGGCTTTCAGGATGGCGGTCTGTACCTTGGTTAGTGGATGTGTGTTTATGGAATGTCGTTCTATTTCCTCGTCCATGGTGTGTATCTCTTCTACTGTTAAGTGGATGCTTGGATTGCGTCCAGGTTGTAGATGTCATAAACAGTACTGTTATAAACATGCTCGTACATTTCTCCAATACACACGAACACACATTCCTAGGAACATAATTTTGGGGTTCAAAGTGGTTTACCATTTTAAATTTCCTTTAGCATCTTTAAGAGATCCTTTGGACTAATGTTTATATACTTTATGTTTTCAAAATTCTTAATTTTTGTCAATTGAATGGGTATGGTACTTTGTGTTTTTTATTTGTATTTCCCTGTTAATTAATAGGATTGACTGTTTCCTCGTATCTGTCAGTGCTTTGAGTTTTACAGATGAGGTACTGAGAGTTAACTTACACAAACTCATGAAGTTTCTAAGAGCCAGAGCCAGGACTTTAACACACTCTGATTCTGACATGGTATACTCCTGAAGTTTTAAGTATTTGCACTCTTGCTTTCTTTACTTACAAAGTGTCTTGAAAGGATCTGTCTCCCCCAGCCTAAATCTGTAGTGACCAGCGGCAGGAACTGTCTCAGAGATGTTCCCATCCTCTCACACCACAAGACAAGGCAAGGCCCTGTGGCCTCTGGATCAGGACACCTGGGGACTTTCAGCCAGTCGTCAGCTGCTTTATACTCAGTTCTCTCTCGTTAGGCTCCTTGCTGCCGGGATCGTTCCTGGACGTTAATCACTTAGCAGTGCTCCTGGTATTTTAGGAATCGGTCACCTTCAGTGACGTGGTCGTGGACTTCAGCCCGGAGGAGTTAGGCTCCCTTAGTGCTGCCCAGAGGGACCTCTACCGGGAGGTCATGCTGGAGACTTACCAGAACCTGCTCTCCCTCGGTGAGTGTGCCGTCTCCCCAGAACGCGTTTCTGCCCACTGGGCTCGAGGGTCTCAGCTCCTGTGTCTTCTTGTTGTGTCAGTAACGCCGGCTCATGTCATCACTGAGTTCAACCTAGGTCAGAGGCAGTACTTTGATATTGAACTCATTGTTAATTATAAAATGGTTAACCTTTATTGAGCACTTAATGTGTGTCAGGTACCAGTCTAGCACTTTACAAGTCTAACCTCTTTAATCCTCACACTGGTTCTGTGGGAGAGAGAGACTTCTTATTGCCATTATTATTATTATTGTTATTATTAGTGCCATTTTATGAAGAAACTGAGTCATGAACAAGTTATAAATTGTTTGTCTAAAACTGGGATTTGACCCAAGTACCCTGACTCTAGAATCTGCTCCTTTATATTAATGTGCTGCTGCTGCTGCTGAAAGATGTTTCTCTTGTAATTTTCTTTCAAACTTTGTTATTCTAATCAGGTATAAAGTGTTAGTTTGGTGTTAGCATTTCTCTGCATCTTGTTGATCTTCCATTTTAGTAGAGAGAAGACCTCAGGCATATTCCTTATTTAGGGAAAAAAAAAGCCAGTTAGCAGTGAATAATCTTGGTTTCTTACAGTATCTAGGTTTTTTGTTTTTTTTTTTTTTTTTGCAAATGATATTTGTTTTAATTTATGGAGTTGATATGAATCTCCCATTTAAAATAGGCCACTTAAGTACAAAGAAGGAGGTTTAAAGAAAGATATAAGTAAACACTATCTACTTCTCTAAATGGCACCTAGATATGGCCAGAATAGGACAGGTGTTCATTAATTTGTCAGAGAAGTCATGGTATGACAGGTCTGTATAGGGCTAGGCTACAAAGTACTCCCTCTGTCCTCATGGACGTCCTCTCTGAGTGGGAAAAGACAGGCGATCAGCCAGCCTTCGCCAAGGAAGGATCGCAGCGTGGGAAACGAGGAGCTGATGGGCGGGGAGGAGCACACAGAGGGGAACAGTGATGGCCCCCTTTGGGCAGCTGTGTCCGATTCCCCCTGCTGAAGTACAGAGCTGCAAACTACCCTCAGTCCTCGGTCCAGGTTCACTCAGCAGCAGGGTTGACATGTGGGACCATCTGTGGCACGCAGGATGGTGGACAGCACGCTGCCTCCACCCACTAGGGGCCAGGAGCACCCGCTTCTTTCCCACAGCTGGGACGCAGAGGTGATCTCCCTACATTGTGTCCTCTGGGGGGAAGAGCCCCTGAGAACCACTGCTCTCTAGGTTTGAAACCGACTCCGTTTTCCTCCTTTCTGTTCCCCCACAGAATCTGGAGTTGCTGAACCCCGAGTTACAATTTACGGTTCCTTTCTTCCTCAACAGGGTGCCAGTTCTCTAAACCTGACATCATCTCACTCCTGGAAGAAGAGGCACGGGCAGTGGAGGAGGATAGGAGGACAGTGACGTGTCCGAGTGAGTGGTGAGGGGAAGCTATGGAGATAAGAATCATGGGAAGGCAGCGCCCTGCCCAGGGGAGGGGAGGGCCAGGTGGGCAGCAGATGCCATCAGGGCCTTCCTCAAAGCCCTCAGGTCCAGGAGAAGGCTGGGAGGTGCTCTCGCTCAAGGGCCGTCTCTCCTCAGCACTTGCCCTCACCTCTTCCTGCAGCGTGAGTTCCTCTTTGGCCCAGCTCCAGGGAGGGCAGTGTCCTTCTCTCTAGTATTCCAACCCTTCATTCATTTGTGCCTTTCTTCTTGCGGTAGGATCATAGGTCTTCCTCTTGAGCCGAGCAAGCAAAAGACCTTGGCATAATGACCCTTCTGTTTCCTCAGTCCCTGCTTCCCCCATGCCGGTTCCTTAGATCTGTGGACATCCACAGACTCCCCCCTTCCCTTACGTTTCTTTCCATTCCCTCCCCACGTGAGCTGACCCACGTGGAAACCTCGAGGAAGACTGATACACGCAGAAAGACATTAAATACAAGGTCCCTGGGGTTGGAACGAGCTCGGGGGTTCCTGAAAGAAGTGGCGAGGACTCGGAGAGAGTCACAGAAAAAGACAAGGACCAGCCCAAATAGGGATATGATAGGAATGTCGATGTTGTTCCGAATGAGGTGGAGAAGTAGTGGCGGGCACTGAGCAGGTGGTGTGTTGACACTCTAGAACGGTGCTGTCCAGTATGGCAGGCACTGGCCGGGTGTGGCTACTTATGTATAAACTAGTTAAACTTATATGAAATTTAAAATTTAGTTTCTTGGTCACACCAGCCCCATTTCCGTTCCTGATAGCCACGTGTGCCGCTGGCTGCTGTGTTAGAGACATGTAGAGCATTCCCATCATGGCAGGGAGTTCTGTCGGGCACTGCTGCTCTAGAAAGATCCGTTTAGCTGGTCTACAGAGGATGGGTGGAAGCGGAGAGAGACAAGCTGCCCTTTGAAAGTAGAACTGGCAGAAGGGGCTGCAGTAGTGGACGTAAGCAGGTGAGGAAAGCAGAAGAGGGGCAGTGAGAATGGGTGCTTCTCTGTCCTCTGTTCTTGAGTCTTCCTTCCAAAGGCCGTTTCCTAAAATGCCTGCTCCATTGTGAAGGGTCCAGCTGTCCCCTTCCCCGATGACCTCCTACATCGCATTCCACCTCTGCTGTCCCACCTAGACTGCTTCGCCCACCGCAGGGGTCTTTTGGGATACAACCCCTGTGTTCATCATTCTTTCTTCCAAACTACAGAGTTATACTTGATTTCCTTGGCTTTCCTCCAGCCCAGGAATTGCCTTTATAAAACCCCAAATCTTAACCAGTTTTTTAAAATCATCCTCAAGATAAAATTCGAACTTTTGCAAAACATTTAGTTTTTTCCCATTCTGGCGTATAATTTGCCTCCCAGCCTCATCTCCTATAAGATCTTCCAACTGAAACCAGTATTTCTGACGTCCTGGGACTGTGTATTTTCATAGTTTGTGTGTGTGTGTGTGTGTGTGTGTGTGTGTGCGCTGCTGGGGATGGAACCCAGGGCCTTGAGCATGCAAGGCACTCTACCAACTGAGCCACATCCCCAGCCCTCACAGTTCATCATCTTTGCTAAGACCGTCATCATGTCCTTCATCACTTAAACTGAGCCCAAATGCCATCCCTTCCACTAGTCTTTGCAAAGAATCAATTCCCCATCGTTTTAGTTTGGTTGAGGTCTTCTTTGCAGATTGCTGATAATCATCTGGTTGGGCAATGCCTTGCACAAAATAGGCATTTAATAAATTTTGGATTGAAGGATATTGGTTGTTGGCATTGTAGATTAGGTTGAAATAAGATTAAGATCCAAAGAGGATTAGAATCCTTTTGCTTTATTCTGAGAAAGAGGCTGTTGACCTGTTAATTTTAGTGTTTCCTCAATGACCCTGAAGAACCATGATAATAGGTATTCTTTAAAAATATTCCCAGGTAATACCAGTTTAGAAATGCTACTTTCTGTCCCTTTCCTCTTGGAGAAATGAGATGCATATAAAAGGTTCTGAAGAATCATCCAGGAATGAAACCTGCTTGATTTGTATTATATGGTATTTCTCAAGTTGACTTGACAGTGGAACCCCTTTATGGTCAAAGCTACTCATTTTTCAAAATATTAGTGATCTGTCAAGCATGGTTTGGAAAATGTCGACAGCCCCCATCCCAGGTCTTTATATGGTTCCCCTCATTCCACTTTCTGTGTCTGGCTTCTCTGTTCTTTTCTGCTCTTCTTCACCCTCCAATGGTTATTGTCCTTTCAATCCTGTTTTGATTTTCTCCTTAGGTTCATTCCCACGATTATATTGTGGGAAGAGACCTGAAACCAAAGAATTAATCCCAAAGCAGAGCTTGTCCATATAAAAATCATTCTTTGGGGCAGGAAGGGAGGGTTGGGTAGGTAACTTCTGGCATGTCTGTGTAGGAGCGTCTTCTCCTGATGATCCATCAGAGTCATACCTTGGCAACCAGGAGAATCAGACTTCAAGTCCCGTGACCACGAGTGACATGAAGACCTCTGCTCGGGAAGGAAGCCACGGCAGTGATGCACTTGAGAGACGCCCTAATCTTACCACACCATCAGGGGCTCTTCCAGGAGAGGCTCCCCTGGAACGCACTACTCTTGAAACATGTATCAGACCCCAGCCAGTGGAACCTATGAGATGTAAATTTTGTGAAAGGGTCTTTAGTACCCAGATGGGCCTTAGGAGACATGAGCAAATCCATACTGGAAAGAAACCCTTTGGGTGTAAACAATGTGGCGAAGCCTTCTTTCTCATGCCCCACCTCACCAGACACCAGAAGACTCATTCGGCCCCGAGGCCCTCTAGGTACCGTCAAGTGGGCAAGTCTTTCATCCCGCATGCAGATCTCGGGGGCGCTGTAAGAGTTCACAGTCAGGAGGATTACTGTGAGTGCTTTCAGTGTGGCAAAGCTTTTGTCCAGGACGTGCATCTTCTTCAACATCTCAAAGCCCATGAAGCAGCAGAGGCCCTTCCCCCTGGGCTGCCCCGCAACAAGACACACTTAATTCGTTACCAGCGGAGACATGACTATGTTGGAGAGAGATCCTGCCAGTGTTGTGACTGTGGCAAAACCTTCAGTAGGAGCTCACATCTCATTCAGCACTATCGGATTCATGCTCAGGAGCGGCCGTACCAGTGCCAACTCTGTAGGAAGTGTTTTAGCCTGCCCTCCTACCTCACTCAGCATTATCAACTCCATTTCCAGGAGACACTGGTTGAATGCCATTACTGTTGAAAAACTTTCAGAGAACAATTTTTCTCAACATTTTTCACTTTATCCTGTAGAGAGACCTTTTGAATGACCTGAATTGAAAGGCTTTATACCTGTCCTCACAGCTTGTTAACTCAAAAAGTCAGCATGGTGTAGTCAGAACCAGTGAATAGTGTAAGTGTGTAGGTGACCTTTTTGCATGAGAAGATCCAACACGTTAGCAGTCATCCAGGCATAGTGCTTACAAAGAATGTTTTGGTTGCAGAGGAAGAAAGCTAATAGATCTTGCCCTTCTTTGTGGTATGCATGGGATGGAGACCCTTGATTCTGACATCCCAATGAAAAACTTCTAATTGGCCGTCGGGATCCAGACTGCCAATATGTGGCCTGAGCTTTTATTGAAGAATTAACATTCAGTGTCTTCACCACTTGGGATGTATCAGTAAGGTAAACAGAATTTTGAAGTTCTACCTAGATTTATCCAATCACAAAGCTTATTTTATTGTAATATATTTATATCATACCTCATGGTTTATAAAATGTTATGTGTTATTTTATTTGATTCTTCAAAGAATGCTTCTAGGTATCTAGGATATTTATTCCATTTTACAGATAAAGTAAACTCGAAACTCCCAAATTCTCAGTTGATTTGAGCAAGGTGTAAGGAATGGTGCAGGAATGGAACTCAGATTTTTCTTTTTATCTCTTTGTCATATCCTCCCTGAAGAAAAGACATAGTATTATGCTTTCTACAACCATCTTCCTATCTTAGTAACCCAACATCATTTCACATTAAATCAGATAAGGCCACTTGTGCTACAGAGGTTAGGAACTTTTTCTTAGGGTGAAGTTCTGACATTTCTCTTGTGATTTAGGATTAGATAATAACTTTTTGAGACATAGATTTAGGGGACTATATTTTTGCTAAACAATTTCTTGTAATTTGTAAAGCTGTTACTGATCAAGTAGAGGGTTTTTTCTTTTTTGGTTGCTGTTTGAGGGTTTGAGCTTATTATTCTCTTTTCCTTTTTTATTTCTAAAAAATAATTCAGTGAGAAAGCAGTGTTTCTGCTTTCTTGGACTCTGACATCATCCGCATGGCCATCTTCACTTAAAACCCTATTTCTTTACTATGTATGCTTCATTCTTTAAAGATATAAGCCCTGAATTACAGTAAAAATCTTTTAGACCGGATTGGTAGGATGTGAAAAGCCTTCTCCTACTGCCTTGAACCGTGGTCAGATGCAGATACACATGGTGACCGTTTGGACCTGGAACCCAGGACCTGATTCCTTGCCTGGAAAAGGTGTGTGGTTGCTGCTGTTATTCCAGCTCTTTTTGCCAACCAACCTTTTTTGAGGTTGATCTGTAATATGTGCTCTAAGGTTATGAAATTTAAAACAAATATGACTTACCAGAATGCACACCAGCAAAAGTAGTGCTGGCTACACGATCCCTCGCCCTTCGTTTCTGAAGTGCTGAATGAAAATGCCCTCATTGGCTGGATCTATTTTCTCCCCTCAACCCACAGTTGAGTTGCTGATACCTGGTTTCTGATCCTGCTGACACTCGGTGGGGGGATATGAGGTTGATGTGTCTTACTTGTGGGAATGTTGACCTTGATGCTTTGACTTAAAATGGGTCTGTTAGGTCTTCCTACTGTACAGTCACAGTTAACTATAAAGTTAAAGTTTATCTTGGTAACTGATGGTTAGCTTATGGGAGAAACTTTAAAACCATGCAGGTATCCAGTGTCTCCTTAAACTTTTACCCACTGGATCCCGACATCTGTCGAATAGGTCCTGCTGTAGCCATTATTACTCGGTATATCCGAATGGTGATTTCCTGTTCCTTCGCTCCTTCTGTATTTTGTAGTTGAAATTGTCTTTTGAGAAAGTGTTGTCCTCCTCATTGGTTTATGCAGTAGTTTATTTCAGCGAGGCTGCATGAGGGTGTATTCTGTGAGGCATAATTCCATACTATTACTATTCATTTTGTCATTCAAGTGCTTTCAGCTCTGGTCACGGAAGCTCTCTCGGGTTGGCTCCTGTGCCCTTTTGCTCGGCGCCTGTCCTTTTCAGAAACTGCTTCTTTCTTGCCCTCCTGACTTTCTCTCCCTTCCTTTCCGGGAAGACCTGCCTTACCCTTAGGAGAGCTGCTACTTCATCACCCGAGGGAAGTCGCTCCTCCCAGAGTCACGGTGTGCCCAGGTCCCTCAGTCTCCGTGTTCCACTTCTCCCTGTGCAAGTTTCGCCAGCTTGACCCCCTTCCTGGGCTGTTGTGTACTTAATCCTTTTTTAACTGACTCTTTTTTAAATTTTTTATTTCCATATATCTACTTAAAAAGGAAAATTCAAAATCACCTTAGACAAAGGGTTTACGCAGTCCACAGCCAGGCCTCCCGGGTCAGGTCCAAGATGCCCTTTCCGTGGGCTTTGTTCAATCCAGATCCAAACATGGTCCACCGATTACATTTGCTTGTTTTATCTTTTGTATCTTTCTTATTCTAAGGCAGTTCCCCACTTTTTTTTAGATGTCTTCTATATCCCTGAGAATAATGTAGCTATTCATTTCCCTTCTGCCCCTACTAAATTTTAATATACCTTTTTAGGTTCTCCTCTTATACTCAGGCTTATTTTATTTTTTAAACTTAGAAGCACTTGTTTTGAAATTTTCACCTTTAATTGTGGTTAAAAGAACATGCGATATAAAATCTACCATCTTACCATTCTTACTGTACGGTTTAGTAATGCCAAGTTATTCACATTGTTATACAACAGGTTCCCAGAACATTTCCATCTTTCAAAATAAATAGACACATTAAATAATAACTCTTCTCTCCCTGCCCCAGGCTTTGGCAGTCACTGGCTTTTTCCGTACTTTCTACCGGTGCCTTGTGTTTGTGCATGATCATGGGATTCACACGTGCACACAGCATAACAACAGAATTTGGCCAGTACCGTTCCCCAGGTCCCCCCCCCCAGTCCCTTTTCTCTACTCTCTGGATCTTCCTTGGATTTTCATGAGATCCCCCCCGACCTTTTTTTCTTTTTTCTCTTTAGCTCCCACATATGAGAGAAAACATGACCCTTGACCTTCTGAGTCTGGCTTATTTATCTTAACCTAATGTTCTCAAGTTCCATCCATTTTCCTGCAGATGACATATCTCACTCTTCTTTGTGGCTGAGTAAAATTCACTGTGTACACACCATGTTTTCTTTATCCATTCATCTGTTGATGGACACCTAGGCTGGGTGCGTGGTTTGGCTATTGAGAACACCATTTTTTTAAAGCTTTTTGTGACTGTGCAGTTCATACTGCAGATACGGTGGTTGTCCTGTGGAATGTCCCACTCTGTGTGCCTTCCAGGGTGCCTGTGAGCCTGCCTCCCCCCTGTATCCCTCTACATGAAAGTCGGCTCCCGACTCTGGGGACCAGGTCTGCTTTCAGCTTCTGTGGCAAGAACGCACCACAGGGTTCTCTGTAGAGTCATGCTCCACGCCAATTCACTGGTGGCTGCAACGTGATTTGGGTATTTTCACCATCAGTAGGTACTCTTCTTGAGCCAGCTAGTTCTTTTTCCCCCTTTTCTAGACTTTTCTCAACTTGCCTTGCTTCCATCACCCCAGCCTGGCCTTCAATCTCCTGAGTTAAGAGGGTGGGTGGTCCTTGAAGTCTGGTAGGGGCTGTTGTGGACAGTCATGGGCCTGGGCTTGGCTTCCTGGGAGTCTTAAGTAGGGAACCTCAGGGAGTGTTGGACTGTACTGTCTTGGTCTGACCTCCCTTCCTCCCCCACACACCTTGCTGACAGTCCACACTGCCACCTGTAGACTCTCTGGGTATGTGGGACAGGCACAAGCCATGGCCTCAGGTTGACAAGGTAGACTAAGCTTGCACAGTGGTGGATGCCCCAGCTCTGCCTGGCCTTCAGCCAGCCCTTTATCTTGCTGCTAGATAGGTGGGTGCTGAGGATAAAGTAAAGATCCACTTCCATGCCCGGATTCCTAATAGGCCTCACAGTTAGGTACTGCTTTTATTTAGAAGTTATTTTTTTTAATTTAGATGCATTCCTGTTTTAACCTTTGTGTGTGTGTGTGTGTGAATACAAGTCATTTATTTCCTTTAAGAAAACTAGAAAATACGTTTTTTTTACTTTGAATATTTGTATTTCCTCTTCACAGATACGTTTGTTGCTGTCCATTTTCCTTATGCATACATCTATATAGTTTATAAAAAGATGTGTATTTTTGAAATGAAATACTGTAAATACTGTTTCAAAGACTATAATTCTTAGTCTCATACATCATGAACATCTTTCTGTAGCCATAAATATACCCCGGGGTTCATTCTTTAGGACTGCCTAAGTACTTGGTTGCATGGGTATGTCCTCATTTATTCCACCTGGCCTTCCAGGGCTGGAGACTGAGGTGGTTGTAATTTATGTCCTCTATGCACATTGCTGCTGGAGTTAGGCTTCCTCCTTTCACCTCTGGGGTCTTTTAAAAAACTTATTAGTGCATTATAGCTATAGCTACTGTCGGGTTCGTGTTGACATAGTGATACCCAATGGCATGTCATCCCCTCCATTTCCATCTCCAGGGCTTCCTGTTTGCTTCCCCTCCTCCTTCCCGACCCCCTCCTCCACTCTACAAGTCTTCCTTCTACTGATAGTTTTCAGTTGGTACCTTACAGATACACAGAAGGGTGGATTCACCGAGGTGTGTTTGTGTGCGGAGCATGATGGGCATCTCATCCCACGGGGCCTCGCTTCCCACCGCTCGGCCGTGCTCTGCTCCACTCACCTGCCCTCTGTCTACAGTATCTCAGCATTTTCCTTCTCAGTTTCCTTGCACTTGGTTTTGCTTTTTAAGGGGAAATTCTCAGCAGGAGAATCTCTGGGCCAAAGGTATGTGTATCTTAAAGGCTTTGAAAACTCTCCTCGCCTCATCCCAGTCGGCACTGAAAGTTGTTCTGATGGTTTTCTCTAAGGAACAATTGTAAACCACTCAGTTCTCTGCATGTCC